AGTTTAAGTGGTTGTAAGTAATAATAACTTTGTACTTGTACGTAACCACATCATAATACAAAATAAGCGTCAATTAGAATAAGTTTTCACAAAAAAAATTAATTGTATATTTTAAACAGATATATACATGGGTTTGTATGATTTACATGGTAGACGTTTGTGTGGATTATGACAACTGAATTTAAACGAATCGAAAGATATTTACAATCATACATTTCAGTTTGCAGGTTTTAGACTAGAAAGTCCAAATCAACGGATAGCTTTAGTTAACGATAATTTATATTTTTACCTAACATAATTTTGAACTTATGGAGCTATAACTGTTTTTGCACAAAACACTCAACAGTTTTCAGACTATTTATCGACGTTAAGCAAGCAGACAAATAATTGTGCTCAGATGTAAAACACTTCATTCGATAAATAAGTTAACTTGGAAGAAGCTAGGATTCCGGCAGTTTACACAGAATCAAGATTTTTTACAAAGTCAAATAAAATAGAGATTATCAGAGCATAGCGAAATCCATTGCATTCCAAACGTTATACCATTTTCTGTCTATCGCTTAAAAAGTTAATCGTACAGGTTGCTGCTGTGATTTATCAACTTTGATATTACTCAACATCATGATAGTAGAAACTTAGCTGTTATATAGACAAACTTATGCCCAAAATGTGACTCAAAAACAAGCAGGTAAGTTTGACCTACAATTCGCTAATTTTGTTTGGGTGCACAACTCGTTGCATCTGTTACATACTGAACACTACAATGTCCGACATAACTCTTTAATATCACTTAAGTGAAGTTATACTGATGAAAGTAATTTAAGTAGAGTTGGTACTTATTTTTAGGTTTGTCAGTTTAGTTTGAATATTACTAATATAGCTGCGATCTGGACGTATTTGTGAAAACTAGATTTAAAGTTTTAATTTACACGAAATATTACGTTTACGAAACGTAATATTATTAACAGATGAAACCGTAACAAATGGTGTATTTATGTCGTGATCTTCGTCGAATATAAAACCCACTAAAGAAATATTAAAGATGCCATTCAATATTTCGTGACACTAGGCTAGCCAAACGATTTGGACAGCTAGAAGTTACGATCAACTACTATCTTATTTATCAAGTCGGAACAAAAAGAATACACAAAACAAGTTGGTCGAAACAAATTAAGCTCTGATCATTTCCACGATGTATCGCATTACCCCAGAAGTTGTCAATTTAAAAATAGTTGTCTGAAACACGCCTAGATTCTCGACATAAGTTAACCAGTCAGAAATGTTACCTCCAGGTCCGTAAGAAGCTTTACAAGCTAACAAAACGATCCCAGATTGACATAGACTAGTTTCAAGTATGTTGTGCAATCTTTCATATAGATCTGCGCGGTAAATTGTTTCACTAGTAAAGATATAGTCAAACTTTACGTTGGCGCTTGACTGCCAAAGCTTTGAAAGATGAAACCAGTCCCCGCTGTAGAATTCCAACTGAGTGTGTTCATTGTGGCTATCAGCATCGTTTTGAGATCCTGAATTAATGATGACGTTAGGAATGGTCCAGCATTTTAAAACTTCGGAGTTGTAATCCTTAAAAAAAATAGTAAAAATACTGGTGAGAAAACGTGGTAGTGTGGCAAACTCTTCAAAAAACATTCAGCACATGCAGACTTTCTATGGAACTTTACCATTTCTTTTGACCTTTAAGATGTTAGTGAGCATTTATGTTAAATGATCAAATATAATTTATCTAGACACTTTCGGAAATAAACTTCAAAACTACTATGATAAAATGCTTTCATTCAATATTTAAATCGTAACCCGAGGACGTTACGCAACTCGAACAAATATTTCTTATCAAGATAAGGCTATAATACTACGCTAACGCAACGCTGAGTTAAAACTACCCGCTTACTTGGAACCTAACTAAGCGGGCACCAGCCTTTACAGCGAATATACCTGGTAGTCCACAACCGCAACCTAACTCCAAGACGTTTTTTTCCACACATTTTTTCCGAAAAATATTTTGATATGTGATTGACGAGATCCTTGCTGCCATCCCACAGAGTAAAACCACCTTCAATCAATCCAGGTTTAACATCCTCACGTGCATGAACAGCATCAAATACATTGAGTTTACTTTTGGGCAGTGTGCGTAGATAATCATCGAGAACAGATTCATGAATGTACCACAGTTCTGTAACAAAATAATTATAAATAAATTTTATTATTGTCTAGCATTTCAGAAGTATTTAAATACGTTTTAAAACAGTCAATTACCTAAAGAATCCTTATGAGAAAACGAATACCCTTACAAATGGTGGGTGAACAATTTAACACTTCATTCTATTACTAAGATGCATCCATTTAAGTTAAATTAGATGAGACGATCATTGTTGCTTTTGAAGCATCATATGGTTGCCGTGAAAAACGTTGAGTCAATAACTTTATATATACGCGTTCCATTCTAGACTAAAAAGAGATTAATGGGAAAAACCAACCAAATAAGTCGCTTTCAAAACCCATACGCTTAGAAATAAGTGACGGTATTCAGATTACAATACGGCACAAATCCACAAAATTAGTGACTATTGGTTGTAATTACCCAAAAGAACGAAGAACTTGTTGGAAGGTGAAAGCATTGTTTGGAGACAACTGACAAGGAATGAAACCGACAGACGCTCATAATCGTGCGCAATTTAAATTCCTTATAATTACATAACTACTTCTAAAGAAGTCCCACTCATCGCCTTGTGGAGGGGGCGTTGTTTACGAAATTGAGAGAACGAAAAGCGAATGTCCGGCGCCAAAACCGGATTGGTGGGCACAGAGGACCCACAGATAATTGATTTCGCTCTCTCGGAACGCCCATCCTTAGAAAAGTATACTATTCCACCTAGTTATCAAGTACATTTCTGCTTCGCCACGGTTGATATGATGCTTATGAAATATTAGAGTAGAATATAAGATTGGTATTTGAGTCATTTTAGTCTGTAGGAGTCACCCTCGTAAAAAAAATCAACCATTTGGTTTGCTACTGATTATGTGAAGAATATTTCTAAAGAGGTGTACAGTTCTCATAATTATTAAAAATCAATTTAGTCCTGTTTACCTTTTCGTGTTCTCTGGGAAAAAAGAATCTATAAGGAGCGACCAAGAGATATATCACCAGTTAATTAACTATGATAATCGATCGGTCTAATATTTAGTTTTATCTTTGAAAACTCAGTGTTGATATCTCTTTAGTACAAAGCTTGTTTAAAGTTATAACCACCTAAGTGCGATCATTGATCTCTGAAAGAGATCTGTATATAAGTCTTAACTTCCCCAAAAAGACGTACGTTTGCAGCTAGACTTAGTGTTCCTTCAGTCCTAATAGTTGGGAGTTTACTTGAGAATATTGGGCCTATAATGTCGAAAAGTAAGTTCATAACTTTGCTAATTGCGCCTACCTATGTTTTTACGATTGCAACGATATTTATAATTAGGCAGTGAAAGTTCAGGGTATAGCACACCTGTTTAGTTTGCAATACGTCATCCATATACTTAAAGTCAAATTATTAAAGTCAGTCGCCTTAACCAGCATATCAACAATACAACAACTTGAGTATTACGTCTTCTACTGCCTATTATTCGTGGATACCACTCAACTAGTCACAAAATCAAAACATAACTTGGAGAAGAACATAAATATATTTAAAATATACTTCCTACACAGACAAAAAAGTTTAATTAATAAATTATATATACACCAAAGTGCTTATAATTATAATCACCTGCCATAATCACTACATCAAAGTACCTAACTCTTTGAAGGAGACTATAATTGTTTCAGTATAACTGATCTTTGATTTTATTTGAAATCTACTTAGTGGAAATGTATGCGAATCTTCAAAGAGACTAAAAGGGTTTATACTCCTTTCGAGCTACTATTGTCTAGTTTAATTTAAAAGTGTACATAGGGTCCGCAATCTGAATCGAGCCCAGGAACAACTTTTCTGCTCTCGGTTTCAATAATATACTTACACTGGTAGGGTCATGAGGAATAAACAACGAAGTCAAAGACATATAAAGGAAGGGCTGAGCTTATCATTTATACTGGTTGGTGAATGACCATGTTTTTGGCCAGTGTGATCTGTCTAGGAAGTATATGTTCATATACTCACATTACATTTTAAGGGGTAGCAAAACTACCCAGGCACTTAAACTGATTACCCATGAGTCAGTTATGCGAATTCCGGAAATATCATACGTCAACCATGTTAGACTTGATAAGTGGGTCAAATACTGTGAACTTTAACACATAGTTTGAAGCAAGACTTCTGGAGATAAAATAAGGGTCAGTGATAAGGCGAGAAGTATTAAGAGATGATTGGATTCAATTTCAAAGTGCGCAAGAGAATTTAGAGGTATCCATGTTTGATACTTTTAAGTCATTATTACTACGACATTTCGTTTTGATAGGCTTTAGTGAAACTCGGTTTAGCATTGAATGTTTCTTTGATATCAGAACGTGACTGCACAGCGCAACGAAACTGCTGCAAAAAACAAGCCTAGTTACAGAGTTAAAATAGCACATGTAGTCAGCCTAGTTGACATCAAGATTTTTCCTACGTTAATTTATTAACGATTTTGTCTAAAACATGTCACACACAATATATACCATCTAATAGCACGTTTGTTTGTACTTTTTGCATAAATGAGGTTATTTTGCAATAGATTAGAATCGTCAGCATATTTTACACGAGACAATTATTAGTCAGCCCGTTGCATTTCATACTATTTTTTGCCTGTAGTTAAATGAAATAGAATCATGTAAACAGACACTAGGAAAGTATGTGAGGCGAACCGAGTATGCTATAAAAGACAAAACATTTGCTTACTGGCTTTACGTTAGTTTTGAGAGTTATCTTAATAAAACCATTGAAAATACACGGTACACAGCAACACACATAAGCAGATTTGTAATTTATCGTAATAATTTATAAAAGTGTATGTAAACTTACTCCAACCATTTGCGATTGCATGAAAATCTGTGCGCAAACTTAAAACATCTCTGTAACCTGCAAAATATTGATAACACAGACTCCACTTACTATCACTTAAAGTATGTGATTGAACTAAGTTAGAATACATCACGGTGTCATGTCGCTTCAATTCTTCGTCATCACTGTTTGCATAAAATTTAAATTCAAACTAAAAGGGAACACAGGATTTCAGAACCAGATATATGCAGTGCAGCACAAACAAGTAACACAAATAAACCATACTTCTCCGATTCATAACGAAAATGCATTCACAAAAGATAATGAATTCCAAGAAACTTAGTTTTTCTGCAAACCACATTTCTACAATGTGCAACTAGTCTTCAGTTAGATCGTCACTATTATCTACTGCTATTTAATACATGTCTACATTCCCCTACATACTTGGGAGATCTTACTAACTAGTCCACATACTATCCAGTTGGTGAATAATAGCTTACAAGATGACGTTTTGGTAGATATCCTAGTTGAATCATGAAAACATTGTCTAAGCACAGCCTTTTACATGTTTACTTAACTTTTCTATCTATGTCACTATGGATGAATAACACCACAGTTTTTAACCAAACATGCACATACATATAGGAGTATTTAGAGTTAGCGGCTGCGGTAAAATTGAACTACAAGAGCAATTTAATGATAGAGATGGAAATAGTGGCAATGAAATGTGGTTGGTATGTACAATTTAGGACTGAAGTATGCGATTACACAATCAACCGGTAACGGGGAAATACGTTGGAAAATGAAGTGGAAATAATGGGAAAACGCGCCCAAATGTCTGCTTTTTCGCATGTCAGGGAGTGGGGGGAAAGAATGTGGATTTTCCTCCTTATGTCGCTGTTTTAAATGTTGCTGAATCGTCTACTTTTCGCCCAAAATCTACTTTCCCCCTTTATTTACGCTTTTGTCTTCTTTGTTTCTCCTCTATTGGTTGCTTGGGTTGAAGTCTGGTATCAGCATTTACACGTCCGTAATGAAAGCCCCAACTCAAATACACGGACCCTAACTTTTAACTCTGAATCCCAATCATTATTCAACAAACTAGTTCTAGCTAGTTTATTATTATAATAACCCTCTTTTGATCCTAGTCTGTAGGTGCCTCAAGATCACCTTAAAACCACTCAGAAATATTCCACTAGTTACAGTTTTAACTCGATTCACAGTATCAATTCAATTTAGATAAGTCATTACTGTCTCGATAAGCTAATCCACAATGCAATGAGCACTGTACCATGAACTTCGAAACGCCTAAAATCTTGCACGTATATATTCAATTGTGAAGATACAAGGTCCGGTAGCCAATGTTAATTATTGCCATTTGTTATATTGTGGTGAGTTGATCTCATTTTTTCTTATAAACCATAGGTACTGATAGTACGTATTCGAGTGGAGAATCCCAGTAATCCAGGACCGTCTGTCATAAATGAAACGCAAGACGCAAATCACATGTTGTTCCTAAACCTTTTGAGAATGTCTCTCAAACAATTGTTCCTAGGTAATAAAAAGGTAGAGAAAATAATAAACGAACTTAATATTTACAATATAGTGAATCAATACCAGTGTATATAGTTTAAGGCGTCCTAGCAAATCATCATAACACAGATAATGTAGACCATCCACCATTTTGTCCGTCGTCTTGGTCCTCTTTTCATGTATGAAAAGCGCCTGACTGTTTGAATCCAATTTTCTGGGTTGCCTTTTACAAACACATTCTAATTTAAATCCTGATATTTTTATTTATCAGAATGTATCTAGATTATCAAAACACGTAAATTGTCGGGGGCTAAAGTATTGTGACGGTAACTAAATACTCTAAAGAAATAGCTTTGTGAGTCTTCGATATTTGATGTTTACCTCAGTAGTTTTATTGCACACCCTTTAGCTGCAGACGCCAGGCCATGTTACTCAACCCTTGCAACCGTTAAGAGTTGACCGCAACACTGTACACAACAGTATCTCTCCCAAAGTTATTTATTTCTGTTCACCTTGAGTCCAGCGGGTTTCACTTTTTGCGGGAACCTCCAAGGTGTATCTTTTCATTTCTTAAACTACTTGAGCCTTCCAGTCTCCCACATTGCCCAGACACCATGTACACCTTCATTGTTTGTTGCTCTGGTTATCTGGATGCTCGTAGATCTTGTGGCTTTCGAGTAATCTCGGCTATACCATGAGGTTTCATAAGTTTTCTATATTTAGACCCTTCAATTTTCATTCAAGAGTTAAAATTAAGTAATTCGTCTAATATAGTCAGCGTATTTTGGGCGAAATACGCTGCTAACTTTACACCTGACCCACTTCATTCATACGGGCTTGGGACAAGTGGTAACCCTAGTGGCGTCTAGGCTGAGTTAAACTATTGATTTAGCTGTTTGCTACTTTAGTAAGTTATCCAAACAACTAATTTTTCTTCTCTTATCACTTCGTTAAGCTACTTGAATGTGTCTTCGAATATCTCACATTAAAAGAACGCAAACATTATATGATTCCGCTGTGACATGTGAATAATCTTATCATAAATCACGGGTTTTATACTTTCTTTCGCTATTTCGAAGCTAGAAGCATAAACACAGTTTTCTCCTTGGGGTCATGCTTCATTTATCTGAAATAAGGTGGATGTTATTCTATCAAATATTTTGAACATTTTTGAAATGCAGTTACTGTTCCAGTGACTTCACCCGAAAACACAATATCACTAATCTGTGAACATTAGGTCATGACTTATTAATTGTCCAGTACTTTTGATTAATAGCTCAACACAGTCGATGTACCGATCCCATATCTTCATTGATGTTAAATCGACTTAGATTATAATCAGTTCACAAATATTGTTGTAAATCTCAGCATCTGAGTACGATGTGCATCATTAGTAAAGAATTACAAAAATGTTCTGTTATTTATTATAATGGTCAGCACTCCGTTGCTCAGTCTAGCATCCAACTCACGGAATAAAGACACTCGTGAAACAATAGAAAATGCTGATACAGACTTTACGGACAGGGACAGACAAATACGATTGAATGACGTTTCGATGAGGCAAAACAAAAAATGAGTTCCGTCCAGCTGTTAATCATGCATAAGTGTGAATGGAACAAATATCACAGACACTTGGAAATAACAGGAATTCTGTAAGTACAAATGGTCTGTAAAAATAGTGATATAATTTCAGGTAAAATAGTGAGATTACAAGGATATATGAATTGAATTCAGCAGTCTGACGTGACGTTTTGTGAATTTTATGCCTAAGGTTCACATTTTATAATAGTCATTTCAACAATTTTGTGTTTTTTGGCCAGTCTTTGAGGTTTTTGAATTTCTTTTTATCGCGTTTATCGGATTAGCCAAAAGTCAACGACGTGAAAAAACACCGTCAGTCAAGCTCATTTGTGAGTACTGTTAGACTTCCAAATACCTCATTACTTCCGGTCACTAAGCAACTCATAAATGTGATTAACCATGAAAATGGATATTGATGCTTACCAGTCGATTACTTAAGGCAGAGTGATGAAGCTGTGAGGCAAATTATTATCATACTATTAAATATTCTTCTCCCGTAGATCATTATCGTACATGTTGAAATTAATCAAGTGCCTTCTCGTAATAATCTCGAAACAAGAAAAGATTGTCCATCATCATTCGTCTAAACTGTTCGCTTTTATCAACCGGAACATTTCGGGACGTAGCAGCTTGATCGATATCACTAGACATTTTCCTGATAACTCAACTAAACAGTTTCTGCAATCAAGTGTTATAGCACCTGCTGGTATTACGTTATTTTTTAATCTAATCGGTCTTCAAGGAAGTGGGTATAACGGCAGCTTGCTAGCAATCAATGTTGACCAATCTGTATAGGCAATAATTACAGTATGCAGGAAGACGTATATGAGAGCGATATACGAATGGAGGAAAACTAAATTAATTATTTACCGGGTGCACACTTCCTTATCCCTATATTTAAATAAAACCGTGTCTATCACTATTTAACATAACATCAACGGAGTGCTTGGGCGCAGATGTTGTTATTTTCATAGTACTCATTAGCCAATATAACCTGCCTAGTGATCTACATGAGAGCTCCCTCCCTTCGTGAGGGGGCAGTTCTGGTCTAATTTTCTGTATTGTTGCAACTACTATGAAATTTAAAACGAATATTGTTTGCAAATAATAGCAAATAATAATAGTAAATGATAACAATAATAAAAAATTAGCAATATGGCTTGATATTAAATAGCATTAACGGTTGGCTGAAGAAATTACTTAGGACAATTTTCAGTACTGAGTATATGACCGAGTAAATGTTCATAAGATGAGGAAGTGATAATCTAACGTTCATGAATTGATCAAGCGAATTTTTTACTTCGTTATCTAGGGCTTTCCAATAACAACTGGTAGTTTTTTGTTCAACAAACAGTGCACGGGTCTCACTAAATCTGTCGGCGATCTAATATCCAGATCGAACAGACCCTCACTTTTATCTGTGTCCATACAGGTAAAAAATGGGACGACTTCTCCTAAAGCTACCAGTTGCCACTAACTTAAATGACAAATACCTAAAAACTAGAAGTTACCAAAGAGCATCTTGACTTCTTGATATTGGTACGGTGAGTAGAATTCATAGTGACAATTTCTACATGTTGTTTATCTGAAGCAATCTGATCATGACCTCAAAAGCAGATTCTAGTTAAGAACCCATCTTTAAAAGAGAGTTCTCTCATTTCTCCTACTTTCATAGCAAATGGAAGGCTTCATTTGAGTACCACAGCTTGCAAATAAAATTTTAAACACGTACCTGCGTACATCTGATCTTTTATTATATCCAAATCAGTTAAGGTGACTCCATAATCGCTATGCCCTCTAGCACATTTGACCACTTGATCTAGGCATAGTGATCGGATCAATACTTTAGTGGTCTTGTATCTGACTGCAGTTAGGTCGTACGTATGATTGTTATTGAAGTATATATGTCGCCAATCCTCGCATATAATTAGAGGCTGAACTCGATAATAATAATAATGAGTGGTAATTTTTGGGACCAATACTATTCGTACATTTTTACCGTGTTATTGTTAATTAACTAAACTATTCATATTCATGTCTCTCTTATCATAAGCTGATTTTAACCTGTAGACTGTTATTATACTATTTTCCATTCTTGAATTATTCCCTGTCTGTTAATCACTGACTCCCACATCCACAGTTACATTTGGCCAAATCTTGTACAAATGTTGTTCCCTATTTTATGGTACGATGCGGTCTGTTTGATTGGTATGTAGACCCCGTATATTTGAAATAAACGGTTCATATCACAGAGGTTGAGATTTGTGTTCTGAACTTAACCGGCTGGACTAGGTGGAAAAGCAGGAATCTAGACTGCTCGCACGTGCTGTATGCGTCACTGGTCCGATCGATAATTCACTGCTCTGTAATAGGCGGTGTCATTACGTTATTCATTAACAGGGCACACAGGCCACAAGTTATAACAATAAGCCAAATACAAGAATAAAGTTTCAATGCGTACATCCCATACAATTCTTGATCTGAACAGACAATCATGGAAACGGATGGAAGAATCGAAGAAAAGTGAGTGGAGAAAAACGACGTGCAGTGGAGGAGGCATGTAAGTCAAGTCGATTTGATCAACCGTTAATTAGTATTTATAGTCACACAAAGACAAGCCACGGATATGTGATGAGTAGGATAAGATATACACACATATATGATTCGTGAATGATTGTCAAGGTCAAAATGTGGCTTAAGAAGAATAGATAGATTGTCCTGTACAGAAGCTAGAGTAAGTTATGTATACTTGACATAGTAACTGACGCTACAATACTAGCTTGATATTTCTACTATCCTCTGAAGCCAGTTACCTCATCTACGAACCACAACTCATCCACAAATTTTCACAAGGACGATTATGTTTCATCCGGGATGACTTCATCACATACTCATCTTGTTGTAGAATCACAGTGTTGACTGAGAATTCAAAAACTTAGACCTAAAGCGTCACTTCGGATTAACATTCACCAAAGTTTCTCAATTATTCCTAGATCTCGTGGTTTACATTTTCGACCGTACATACACTTAAAAACAACAGAAGTACAATTGAATTCAATTTCACTTAACGAGCAATTTCCTATATGTACACAGTGATTATGAGTAGTCTAAAACATATAAGATCATGTTTTTACTACGTTCTGAACATCATTTAAAGCTGTCCTGGGTTACGCTCAGCTCACAAACTGTGTTTAGCATGATATACCCAAATGCATCAATCAGGTCGACCGACAGAATTCCCGAACTTGAAGCACAAATACTGGAGCTGCATTAGTAGAAAGCAAAACACGAAATCGGTTAGTGTGAAGCAACTTCATTAACTGCATTGCATAACTTACTAGTGACATTAATGGAAGATGACGACTCCAAACTGAATGTCAGTCATCTTCTAGTTTGAATGGAACGATGTGTTACATAGATTATCAGTCCATCGAATCGCGTGTGGTTATTTAGTAGAATAATTTTCTTACCCGGCTATAATAAACTGTTCAACGAAATTATTCAACCGATGTTTTGCGGAAAATGTTACGTATCAGCAACTAACAGTAAATATGGATAAAAATTTAGTAAATGATGTTAGTAACGACATAAACAGACTACGTCAAGATACAAACACAGGAGAACTATGCCAACATACACGCATGTAACCAACATAAAGCCCTCCAAATACGGAATGCCTGATATCATTTACAGCGTACAAGGTCGTCAAACGAAAGCGCGGGTAAGTTTAAACGTTTTTGCTATGGCGTTTAATACAGTCAGATACTTCCGTCTTCCAATTTACTTAAGATGTAGATTATACAGTACGGAAAGTGCATCAACAGTAACCCACACTGGCCAGGTTTAATGTTTATCTGTACTTATCTATTAATGATTAGACATTCTCGTTAAATGACCCATCAGTTGCAAGATTTACTATCGGTGATAAGTTGGTAAGATTCTTCTCTTTTTCTGTACTTGGTTTCGTTTTTAAGTGTCTACAATGAAGCCATTCTGTTTTCGGCATATTTTATGACCGAACCCTTATGTATACTGCCAGGAAATCAATATAACAAGTGGTATTTATATATATCTGTAAATGTAAAATAATACAGGTCTTTTTAAGTAATTTCAAATCATGGTTGTCAGCCTGACCTCACTTGTTTGCGGAAATAGGTTCATATCGTCGTGATTCAGCTGTCAGAAGCTGTACTTTTCGTGCACTTGTGTTCGCTGCAGAAAAACATGTACTAGGTAGATCTTCAAGTTGGTACGAGAATATTAAATTGCTTTGTAAAGTCGCAGGTCTGAAGAAAATATTAAGAAATCTGTATATTGGGCTAAATCAAATGCAAACGACGAAATTAAATAAAATATGACAACTAAATGATACGAAAAGTTGGTTTTTTGAGGTACGATCGGTATGACTCTCATCAAAATGCTCGAAATATTCGGCACTCGCTTATTCTTTACTTAGTGGTGTTGTATAGTTGACTGCACTTATGATGTGAGGTTCAAAAGTGGTGGATCTATTACGCAGTTGCAGCAAGTGATTATAGTCCCCCTTTGGTTTTGAGTGGTAGCATTCATATCTCTTACCATAAGGTTTTCTCGAAGACTGAACTCATCGAATAAGGGTCCGTAGATAGTTTAAAAACATCCTTCTGGTGACCATTCATGGATTGGCAAGTTCTTTCGTGTACTAAGTGGGTAGTTAGATTATGGTAATGTATTATTAAGTTTGAATTTAAAGCTCTTTGAAGTGGCTGCTTAAATTAGTTTACAAAAGATTTATCTATAAAGTTCACTTGAGACTCTTCGCGTATACTGGGAACTAAAACCGTCTTCATAAAAACTAATCTGCCATATTTCCCAACCCCAAATTACCGAACAAACAGCGATCAGTCGAATAAATAAATGATTACCCTACTTCTTACTTTAACGAACGTTATTATTTGTCGTAATTTTAAATTTGACACATATTGCTATGTATTACAATTTGTCTCGTCTTTTGTTTCTCTCATGTAATAGGTCAATAAGCAATTCGCAGAAAAGCTGATAGCAGAGGTCCCCCCGATCGCTTGCAAAGAAAATATAATCAGTTGCGACGGTGGTGGTGGCGCACTTGGGCATCCTAAAATATACATCAACTTGGTAAGTCAATATCAACTTCTGTCTGGTTGCATAAAAAGCGTTTGCATGGATATCTCGTTTAACTGGTCTGGTTTTAACATTTAGTCACTGATCACTTGGTTACAGTACTTACTTACGCCTTTTGCCCCTCGTAGAGGAGCAGACTGCCCATCAGCATTCGCCATCGAACTCTGTCCTGGGAAATCCTTTCCAGTTGCTATTCATTCTTTTGATGTTCGCTTCCAATTCCTAACACAATGCGTTCCTTGGCCTTTATCTTTCCCTTTAACCCTCCCAATTCTATGGTGCACATGGGCTCCAGTATCCTGCGGGAACAAATGGCGTATGAACCAACTTTTGGTCACCGGCTTCCATGGGACTGCATCTCCTCACGATGCTCCACTGCCTTGTGGACTAGACCTTTAGGTCAGAGGCTCGGGGTGTGGCCCCCTAAGAAAACCACCTGCTTCGGTTTGGGCACCCGGGCAGTATCCCAGCCCACTCACTAAAACTATGATGAACTATATGCTTATAGAAAGTATTCGTTTCTCTCCGACTAACATTGAAATGACTGGTATTATTATTATTATTATTACTATTATTATTATTATTGTTATTATTATTATTATTTACTACGTCATTTATTCACTATCTGCTATTTCTACTTTTTGTATCCGCTTCGACTCAGACAGCAGCTCGCCTATGGTGAAAATTCAGCTTTATCTAAACGTTCTCGAGTCACTGCCTGGTTGAAAATTGTATGTTACTACCGAATATGAGTACTGAAGCAGTTTTTCTGAAACCACGTGCACCATTCAAACTGGCTGCCTTCAACGTTCGCACACTTATGCAGGTCGGACAACAGATAGGGCTGGCTGTCTTTGGAAAGTCTTAATATTGATGTGTGTTGTCTATCCGATACCCGTATTCAAGACTCTGGTGAAGTACTAAAAATTCGCTCTCCATCTGTCACTTCGAAAAGCTTGTTTTACGTGCGTTTATCCGGGGACCGTGTGGCATCTTCGTCTGGTCTTGCTGGCGTTGGTGTCGCACTAAGCGCAAGAGCTGAGGCAGCACTAGTCGACTGGATCCCCATTAACAGTCGGTTATGTGCTGTTAGATTAGAAAGTTCCATCAAAGTGAGAAGAAATCGGCGTGAGAAACGATGTCTTTTCGTCATCTCCGCCTATGCCATGACAGATTGCAGCCCGGATGCAATCAAGGACGAGTTCTACCATCAGCTAACTGTTCTTCTCCAGAAAGTGCGTTCGACAGATATTGTAGTACTAGCTGGAGACTTGAATGCTCAGGTCGGACGTCTAGGCACAGAAGAGAGTCGTTTAGGTGGCCGATGGGGACTCGTTGGTCGCAGGACAGATAACGGGGAACGTCTACTGCAACTATGCACAGACCACAACCTGTTTCTGTCTAGCACTAACTTTCTGCATAGTCATCGCCGATGTGCCACCTGACATCCTCCCTCTGCATCTCCAGCCTGGACTCAGATTGATCACATCGCGATCAACTATAGCTGGCGTGGTTGCGTACAAGACTGCCGCTCCTTTTGGAGTACCTATCTGGAATCTGATCATGCTCTGGTCTGCGCCAATCTTACCTTACTTTTCAGTGGACAACGAAGTGACCGCCACCACAGGATTGATGTTAGCAAGCTGGCTGCAACTTCTGTTGCTAGTAAGTACCGAACCGAGCTAGCTTCTAGGCTAGCTACCATTCCACCGAAAAGTATAGATGAGCATTGGTTGCAATTGCATGACGCCATGAAAATGGCGGGTACAGTCTGTTGTGGGTTCGCGAAACGTCCCGCTTACAAGCACTGGGTTTCTTCTGGTTCCTTACAACTGATTGAAGCCCGTCGGTCTACTCTGGGTGACCGTGAGTTTGACCACAGACGAAGGATGTTACGTAATGAAATCGGGCAAAGCTTGCGTGAGGACCGAGAAACCTGGTGGTCGGAGAGTGCTAACGAGCTGGAAGCAGCAGCTGTATCTGGTAATTACCGGAAGCTCTTCCAACTCATCCGAGCCACTGGCAGCAAGAAGTCTGGTGTGAGCGAAACAATCTGCGAGGATGACGGAACGCCAATCACTAACATCCATCGACGTCTTGGACGATGGGCAGAATTCTTTGAAGGGCAGTTCAACTGGCCTGCTGCTCCGGCAACATCGGTCAGACTGTCCTGCCCTCCATGGCCGGCGACGACTGATCCACCAAATGAGGCGGAAGTCCGCAAGGAACTCCAACTCTTGAAACGTTACAAATCACCGGGCCCAGATGACTTACCTCCGGCTCTTTTTAAAGATGGTGGTGACTTTCTGACTAAGGGACTGACGACGTTGTTTACAAAGATCTGGGAACTAGAGAGTGTACCAACGTCATGGAATGAGTCGATAGTTGTCCCTATCTTTAAAAAGGGTTCACGTTGTTCCTGTAACAACTATCGGGGGATAAGTCTACTTCCGATTGCGTCCAAGCTATTGGCTTCCGTCATACTTCGTAGGTTGTTCAGAACCCGAGAAGGATTGACTCGCGAGGAGCAGGCTGGGTTTCGTTCTGTTCGAGGATGTATTGATCATATCTTCACCCTCCGCCAAGTGTTAGAACACCGCCATACTTATCAAAGGCCAACAATCGTAGTGTTTCTTGATATCAGGGCCGCCTTCGATTCGTTGGACAGAAAAGTTCTCTGGGATTGTCTATTGAACAAGGGTGTGCCTGAGAAGTTTATTAACATCCTTAAAGCCCTATATACAAACACCTCAGGCAGAGTGAGGGCATACAACCACCTTTCTCCACTATTCCATTTATTTATTTTATTTATTTTTTTATTTGAACACATAAATATTGGTACAGGGGGGCACCAAATATATATGCGCCACACAAAACAGTGATAATTAGAAGAGAAGGAGAAAAGAGAAGAAAAAAAAGTAATGAACGTGGGGAATTATAAAAAAAAAAGAAGAGAGAGAGAGAGAACAATGGTGGGGGAAACGGAAAGGTACAATCAGAACAGATCTTTCAGTTAAGGAAGAATACGACCACCTTTTTATGAAGAAAGTAAAAGAAGGTTACAGCAGGATCGCCACTGGCTTCTATTCTGAGCCATATCTGATAACGTCTCTAGCCACTGCGTTACACCATCTCTCGGACCCCAACCAGGGAGTCGTGAAGGACCAACATAAGCTAGCCCTTTGCAGCTTTCTTTCATACCACGACACCATGTCATATACTGACCACCTCTCCGCTTTTTCCAACCAGTCCCAGAGTCGGCAAATAATGCACGACGAGGAATTCTCTGGGACGACTATTCCATTCGAGAAGTGGGGTTAGGCAGGGTTGCCCAATCTCACCATTCCTCTTCAACTTTGCCATCGATGACATTCTGGAAACAGCTCTGACGGATGTAAGTAATGGTGGTGTGGATCTGTTGCCTGGAGAAAGACTTCTCGACCTTGAGTATGCGGATGATATTGTCTTACTGTGCCATAATACCAACGCCATGCAATCCGCACTTAATCAGTTGGCAATCAGTGTCCGTAGGTATGGTATGTGCTTTGCACCTTCGAAGTGCAAAGTACTTCTACAAGACTGGTAGGATTCTAATTCTGTACTCACTCTGGATGGTGAGCAGATAGAAGTAGTCGAGAAGTTCGTGCATTTAAGTAGCTGCATAAGTACTGGTGGTGGCGTAAGTGATGAGATCAATGCACGTATAGTGAAAGCCAGAGCGACTTATGCCAATCTGGGCCATCTTTGGCGCCTTCGTGATGTTAGTCTGGCTGTAAATGGTCGGATCTACAACGCGACGGTGAGAGCAGTTCTGCTCTATGCTTGTGAAACCTGGCCTCTCCGAGTTGAGGATGTTAGACGACTCTCTGTGTTCGATCATCGCTGTCTCCGAAGGATTGCTGGCATCCAGTGGCAACACCATGTCAGTAATGCAGAGGTTCGGCATCGTGTGTTCGGGCACAGAGACGATAATACAATTGGTGTCACCATCTTGAAACACCGACTTCGGTGGCTTGGACATGTTCTACGAATGTCTTCCCAGAGAATTCCACGTCGTGCATTATTTGCCGACTCTGGAACTGGTTGGAAAAAGCGGAGAGGTGGTCAGTATATGACATGGTGTCGTGGTATGAAAGAAAGCTGCAAAGGGCTGGCTTGTGTTGGTCCTTCACGACTCCCTGGTTGGCGTCCGAGAGACGGTGTAACGCAGTGGCTAGAGACGTTATCAGATATGGCTCAGAATAGAAGCCAGTGGCGATCGTGCTGTAACCTTCTTTTACTTTCTTCATAAAAAGTGGTTGTATCTTCCTTAACTGAAAGATCTCTTCTGATTGTACCTTTCCGTTTCCCCCACCATTGTTCTCTCTCTCTTCCTTTTTTTTATAATTCCCCACGTCCATTACTTTTTTTTTCTCTTTTCTCCTCTTCAAATTATCATTGTTTTGTGTGGCGCATATATATTTGGTGCCCCCCTGTACCAATATTTATGTGTTCAAATAATAAAAATAATAACAGGATTTCAAGTTGGCGCTTGCTTTGCGATTCAGTTTGATGCTTTCCTCAATGTATGTCCTATCGCTTCCAGAGTTTTTTCCTAATTTCCTCTTCAGTCCGAAGCTGGTTTGTTTTTTTCCTCAGTAGGCTGTTGCTGATTGTCTCCGACCAACGAATCTGGAATATTTTGCGCAGACATTTGTTTGTGAATACTTGTACCATTTTAACGATGGTTGTGGTAGCTCTCGAAGTTTCAGCTCCGTACAGTAGAGCTGTCTTGACGTTCGTATTGAAGATTCTGACTTTGATATTAGCTGGAAGTTGTTTTAAGTTCCATATGTACTTCAAGTGTAGAAATGCGGCCCTTGTTTTGCCGATTTCCGCCTTTACGACTGCATCGGATCCTCCTTGTTCATTGATGATCCTGTCCAGATACGTGAAGGTTTCCACCTCTTCCAGAGTTTCCCCATCAATTGTGATTGGGTTGGTGTTCTCTGTGTTGTATTTCAGGATTTTGCTTTCCCCTTGTGTATGTTGAAGTCTACTGATGCAGGGGCTTCTGCTACACTGTTTGTTTTGACCTGCATTTGTTCGTGCGTATCGGATAGAAGGGCCTGATCATCTGCGAAGCCCAAATCGTCTAACTCATTCCGAGCTGTCCATTGTATTCTGTGCTTCCCGTCATATGTGGAGGCCTTCATAATGCAGTCAACAACCAGAAGAAATAGGTAGGAGGAGATTAAGCAGCCTTGTCTGACTCCGGTTCTCGCTTGGAATGCGTCTATCAGCTGTCCTCCATACACAACCTTGCAGTGCAGTCCGTCGCGTGAATCTCGGATGACGTTTTACGATCTTAACAGGTACGCTATAGTGTCGAAGAAGTTTCTATATGGTTCGCCTATCTACACTGTCAAACGCCTTCTCATAGTCGAGGAAGTTGATGTATAGTGACGAATATCATTGAATTGATTGCTCGACAATAATTCATAGTGTCGCAACTTGGTCTGTGTACGACTGATCCTTACGGAATCCGGTCTGTTAATCTCAAATATGTGTGTCTGCTTAATCTTTCACCAGGTTCAGCAACCCCTTGTTCTAAACATTTTCTAGTACCGATAGTAGCCCTCATGGCGATGCTTGTTGCGGCCCAGAATCTCCTGTCGCGTTGAATTTAGTGCTTCTTTGATACATTTCCAATTGTCCTCCACAGTAGTTTCTTCTTCCCTCAGTAGATCGTGCAAGGCTTGGGACCTGTTGTTGAGAGCTTTCTTGAATTCGTTGAGTTTGTCAGTATGTCGAAGGAAGGCTGTATTAAACCATTGCAATGCTGTTTTCCCTGTTGTCTAGTGCTTCTTTAGCTTCAGTTTGATCTTGGCAGTCACAATCAGATGGTGATCTGAAGCTGTCAGCCCCTGGTTTTCACATCTCCCATGGATCTTTCGAGTTTTTCATTGTGCAACTATTATCAACCTGATTCTCTGTAATGTGGTCCAGTGAAACCCATGCTGCCTTGTGTATACATGTGTAGGAGTGAATGGTGCCACTTATAACCATGTTGTTGAAATCAAATCCCTCACCATTATCGTTGTTTCTTCACAGTCCATGTTGTTCCATGATATCTTCATACCCGGTATTGTCCATTCCGACATTTTGGAGTCTAAGTCTCCTATCAGGATGGTCTGGTCCTATTCTAGGCACTTCTGTAGGATGAACTGCAGCTCCATAAAACTAACCTTTATTATTTGGGCTGTCATCTTTGGTGAGCACACAGCACTGAATGACATTAGCAAAGTCGTTTTCTACGGAATATATATATATATATATATATATATATATATATATATATATATATATATATATATTGGTTATTTAAATGCGTGTATGTAAAGTTATTGTGTAATTTGCACAACCAGAATGTTGGTTTAGTTGTTATAAAGCACAAGAGCAAGCAATTTGTATGTCCAAGGCTGACGTTAGGTGTAGTTACGTTTATTTTATATAAATGTGAATGAGATTGTAACTGTGCATTCAAGGATAGTCCATACCTAACCACTGAATCCTGCAGAAAGAAATTTAAATCACAATGTGAAAATAGCAAGCATTGTTTTCTACTAAGTCCATTGGATTGATAGATTCTCGCAAACCTACCCCATCAGGCCCTGAACACGATGAAGAACGAAAACAAATCATATCTATGTTAACCAAAAGTCTAAGGAACGACTGTGGACAGTTGTGGGCAACGAAAGCAAAAGAGATGGAAGAGGTGACGGTTGTAGGCAACACCAGACAACTTTTCAGACTAATGAAAGAAACCTGAACTAGAAAGTTAGGTGTAAGTGAGACTATCTCGTAAAAAGACGACACTCTTATCTGCTCCCAGCCCAGACGCTTAGAACAAACTGCGGAGCAGTTCAACTGGCCTTCAGCTACACTACGACTACCCACCCTCTGCCAGGGAAGTCCTACTCACTGCCTTCTCGTGGCAGGGGTGTTGTTTACGAAAATGAGAGGACGAAAAGCGAATGTCCGGCGCTATAACCGGATCCCAAATCAATGGTGTACATGGGCTCCAGTATCCTGAAGGAACAAATGGCGTATGAATCAATCGTTGGTCACCGGCTACCATGGGACTGCATCTCCTTACGATGCTCCACTGCCTTGTGGGTCAGACGTTCAGGTCGAAGGCTCGGGGTGTGGCCCCCTAGGAAAATCATCTGCTTCGGTCTGGGCATCCGGGCAGCATAGCAGCCCTCACACAAATCAATTGATATCTGTGTGGCGCATATGTATTTGGTGCCTCCTTGTACCAACATCTATATGTTAAAATAAATAAATAAATAAACCATTCCCAGACTGCGTGAATGGAACATTGAAGTAGGTCCCCGACTCTAATTGAAGTCCAAAAAGCTGCAGCTAATCTGGAACGAGGAAGAGCGGATGGATCGGCTCGGAGGTCTTGAAGTATGGTGGTTCAATTTTAGCGATTAGGTTGACCAATATTTCAGTAAGATCTGGGGGTTGGACGTAATTTCATCTGACTGGTCACAATCACTGATTGTCCCAATATATAAGAAGGGGTCAAAACCATCCTGTGATGACCATAAAGGGATTAGTTTAACTAACATAGCACCTAAAATACTAGTCTCGATAATTATCGGACGCCTAACTAAGACTCGTGAGATGCCATACAATCCGCACTTAATCAGTTGGCAATCAGTGTCCGTAGGTATGGTACATGCTTTTCACCTTCGAAGTGCAAAGTACTTCTACAAGACTGGTAGGATTCTAATTCTGTACTCACTCTGGATGGTGAGCAGATTGAAGTAGTCGAGAAGTTCGTGCATTTAAGTAGCTGCATAAGTACTGGTGGTGGCGTAAGTGATGAGATCAATGCACGTATAGTGAAAGCCAGAGCGACTTATGCCAATCTGGGCCATCTTTGGCGCCTTCGTGATGTTAGTCTGGCTGTAAATGGTCGGATCTACAACGCGACGGTGAGAGCAGTTCTGCTCTATGCTTGTGAAACCTGGCCTCTCCGAGTTGAGGATGTTAGACGACTCTCTGTGTTCGATCATCGCTGTCTCCGAAGGATTGCTGGCATCCAGTGGCAACACCATGTCAGTAATGCAGAGGTTCGGCATCGTGTGTTCGGGCACAGAGACGATAATACAATTGGTGTCACCATCTTGAAACACCGACTTCGGTGGCTTGGACATGTTCTACGAATGTCTTCCCAGAGAATTCCACGTCGTGCATTATTTGCCGACTCTGGAACTGGTTGGAAAAAGCAGAGAGGTGGTCAGTATATGACATGGTGTCGTGGTATGAAAGAAAGCTGCAAAGGGCTGGCTTGTGTTGGTCCTTCACGACTCCCTGGTTGGCGTCCGAGAGACGGTGTAACGCAGTGGCTAGAGACGTTATCAGATATGGCTCAGAATAGTTATGAACTGACCACCAACCAGTTTCTGCTTAAGGGAACACGTGACGGTAGGTATACGAGCCGCCAAAACCGATGTTGTAATTCAAAACGACTCACTAATGTCGAGCTCAAGAAAACAGCCGAGCGTGGATGTCCAACTTTCTTCAGGTTGTAGAATATATTTAAATTTATCGGCGCCCATCGATAGTCATATTTCCTGACGTTAAGTCGGCACCCAACTTGGTAGATCGAAAGGTTTTGTGGTTGTTACGAAAAGATGTACTTTACAGGCTCTACTCGAACGTTACCGTTTAGTCAAAGCGTACAGCGAACTGTTACTGGGATTGGTAATATCACGTGGTGTTCAAGGTTGCTAGCTTTTTCCTTTTTAATCCAACTTTCTTATGTGCATTCTTTGAGGGATAATGCTTTCGTCGCCTGATTTTTCAGGAGTCGACCTTCGATAAGGAGATTTACTTACTGACGTAGAACACGCAAATGACTTTCGCTCTACTGAAGACGATGACAAAGTATCATTTAGCGAAAATCGACGAATGGTTGAAATGTTTCGCGTTAAATACAAAGTGTTGTTTCAGGACAAGTTCGCGTCAACACCTGAACCAATCATAGGGGGTGAAGTATTTTGGCGCATTGACCACTCATATGAAAGGTCTCATCAGCTTCGGTATGACTCTGCCTCAGCAAGGATTAAAAGGTCCGGTTGGTTTTTGCCGACTTGTCTCGATTAAATGTCTGTCTGCCGAACAAAGGACTAGTATACTGTTCAGTAATTCTTTCTCTGATGTGTTGTATATATTCATAGGTTACCACTATTTGGTCACACATGTCTTCAAAGCACTGGTCACTTACGTCGAGAGCATCGCATTAGCAATGCTGAGCTTGAACCCAAGATCTTAAGTAAGAGTGGTAAATCGATTGGTAAATCTTTGACTGTGTTATATATTCCCGACCGCTGCCCACCTCGACACACGATGCTTGCTGACGCACGTTAGAAAACTAGGGGAATTTAATTAAAGATATGGCGTTAGTCTATAGAGCCGTCGACTAGTGGATCAAGCCGTGCCGGTAAGTACAGGCTGTCAGTTTTGGGCCCTCGAGATTATCGTAATTAATAGTTGGAGACGTGTTACACCACTCAAAGTCGATCCCAATGACTCAGTCGTATTCAATCCTTGCCTCCCGTTAGATTTTGATTTATGAAACTAATTAATACTTCTTATTTCACATATTCATTATTTTCGAATCATCCCTTTACTTTGTCCCGTCTGCTATCAATATTGTCACTAATTCTACTACTCTGGCATTTGTCTTTGTACTCCTGCACTAGTGCGATGTGATCACCGACGAACATACGTCCCAGGTTCTGTTTTGCTTATGACTGACGATCTGCGTTACTTAGATCACCGTATGAAGGTAAATACTACTCGTTATGTTGGAACTAGAACATAGTTCACGTTTTTATCACCACATCATATGATTCATTTTAATTCTAGGAATGCTTACTGTGTTTTTCTATTTTAGGACCAACCAGGTAATCATACTTGCGGGTACTGTGGTTTGCGATTTTACCTAGACAAAAAAAGCCACTGAAACCTACGGCAACCACGATTTGGAACGGAAAAATATCCTACTTTGTGCGTTATGATATCATGTTTTGATGAATATCTTTGTGTTTTTAGAAGTTTGTGAAGTGTTACTGAAAATAGCTTACAATCACATACAGTATATTCTTCCTTACTATGGTTTTTGGCCGAGGAGTCTGAAGTACTGTTTAGTTTTACAAGGTGGTGTGTCTGAAAGACATCGCCAACCGCTGTAAAGGTAATGGACGTAACACATGTAATCTATGTGATGTCTTTAACTCATACATTGATCATAGTATGGTAGGTGAACGGTACACGCCCAATACTCTAAAATATAGCCGTCGTATTTGTGTAACTTAGCTCGTTGTTGCATGTTTGAAAGTCATGAAAAATATCTAAGCTCTTGGCTATAAAAACACAGACCCATTCTTTAATGCTCTGGATGAATGTTAAAAACAGTGTATTAAAACAATCGGTTATATATGGTTGAAAGACTCAATAATGCCACAAAAATTCCATAAAACTGAGGTCACACTTAGGTAGTTCTGAAAACGAGGCTGACTCCGATATTGCTTGGGAAGATATACATTCAGCTGTGACATCTATTAGTGATTTGAACCAAAGGGTTACAAAGAACCTATAAGGTTCTGAACACGATGATGAGCGAAAGCAAGTCAGATCTAGGTTAACCAAAAGTCAAAGGAATGATCGTGAGCAGTGGTGGGCAACGAAAGCAAAAGAGATGGAAAAGGTGACGGTTGTAGGCAACACCAGACAACTTTTCAGACTAATGAAAGAAACCTGAACTAGAAAGTTAGGTGTAAGTGAGACTATCTCGTAAAAAGACGACACTCTTATCTGCTCCCAGCCCAGACGCTTAGAACAATGTGCGGAGCACTTTAAGGAGCAGTTCAACTGGCCTTCAGCTACTCTACGACTACCCACCATTCCCAGACTGCGTGAATGGAACATTGAAGTAGGTCCCCGACTCTAATTGAAGTCCAAAAAGCTGCAGCTAATCTGGAACGAGGAAGAGCGGATGGATCGGCTCGGAGGTCTTGAAGTATGGTGGTTCAATTTTAGCGATTAGGTTGACCAATATTTCAGTAAGATCTGGGGGTTGGACGTAATTTCATCTGACTGGTCACAATCACTGATTGTCCCAATATATAAGAAGGGGTCAAAACCATCCTGTGATGACCATAGAGGGATTAGTTTAACTAACATAGCACCTAAAATACTAGTCTCGATAATTATCGGACGCCTAACTAAGACTCGTGAGATGCAAACACGAGAGAATCAAGCTGGCTTCAGACCTGGTCGTTGCTGCATCGACCACATATTCACCATTCGTCAGGTTCTAGAACACAGGCATACTTATCGGCGTCCGACAATAGTGGTCTTTCATAACTTAAAAACAGCATTGACTTTGTTGACCGAGGGGTCCTGTGGCAGTGTCTGTCATTGAAAGGCGTACCTCAGAACTACATGAACTTTATGAAGGCTCTTTACTCGAACACTACTAGTCGAGTCAGAGCTTATGGTGAACTGTAATCTGATTTCTCAACCACAAGTGGTGTCCTTCAAGGCCAGAATGTTTGGGATGCGCTTCTCTCCCTCTACATGCAAATTGTTGCTTCAGGACTGGACTGCGCCAACACCTGAACTTAGGATAGGGAGTGAAGTAGTCGAACGCGTCGAAAACTCCACTTATCTTGGAAGTCTGATCATCCCTAATGGGTTGGTGTCTGACGAAATCTCAGCACGGATTGGAAAAGCTCGTTTGGCTTTCGCCAACTTACGTCATCTGTAGCGAAGGCGAGGCATCCGTCTATCAATAAAAGGACTAGTGTAATGTGTGGCAGTTCGTTCTGTTTTACTTTACGACTGCGAAACATTGCTATTAAGAGTAGAAGATATTCGTAGGTTACTAGTACTTGACCACAGATGTCTTTGAAATATTGCTGGGATCACCGGGTAAGTAATAGTGAGGTTAGATACAGGGTATTAGGGAATGATGGTAAATCAGTTGATGAGGTTGTGAATCTTCATCGACTGAGATGGTTGAACCATGTTTTGCGTATGCCTAAACACCGATTACCACGACGCGCAATGCTAACGGGTGTTAGGGATTATTGGAAGAAAGCTAGGGGCGGTCAAACCAGAACGTGGCGTCAGTGTTTGAAGTCACTAACTTCTGCTCTGAGCCATGTTGGTAGATGCAGACTACTTGGTTGCGGTCCGCGCGACTACCGTAACCAATGGTTGGATACCCTTGCTGATATAGCTCAGAACCGATCACAATGGCGTCGGTGTATACACTCTGTCTCCTTTAAACTAAGAGATTAAAATCACTTCAAATCTTTCTTTCTACGTACTAATTCTATCTTCCTGTACTATCTCCTTATACACACTCTTTCTTCTATATTATTGCCACCACTGGATTAACTACTTCTATGAATCCGGTGTTCATCATGTTGTGCTAATGAGGTATGGCAATTTGGACTGATGCATATATGTGCCTGGTCCTACGTTGCAACTGACTGACTGACAAGTGTTTTGCCGCTCACTTCTATCAAGTAGTATTCTTCGGTAAAAGATATTGTCGAATAGAGTTCCAGAGTTACTACCCGTACTTGACTATTCAATCTAAGGACAACATTAAGGTTTGCATATTAGTATGTAAACCTCTTTTCTGACGGTCAGTTGCAAAAATAACTAAAATTCTTTTTCCATGCAGATGCAAAGCTGTACGAACACCTGTCACGTAAATGCTAGTAGATTAACCCTTTAAGGCTTTGATAGGGATTTGGATAACCAGGCTAACTGAAAACAACACTACAATTTTCTCTAAACAATTATAGGAAGTTCGTGACCGTTAACTGACAAACAGATTAGCCTAACCACAACATTCGTATACTTTATTTCTTTATGAAACTAAATTAAACGTGATCATTTGACAATTAGTTATCACTGGTACGGAGGAGTCCTGTTAACATGGCTTTGATCGTACATTCATTATGATAAAGCCTTAATAATTGCAAGCTCTTTAGAAGGATTATTTTTATAGGAAGGTTTATGGATTCCTGGGTTGCGTTGTGTCTAAATTTTGATCTGCTGTGAGAACAGAGACATGAGCGTACACAAATTAACAGATCAAAAACAGTAATGTTTCTTGCTTTTTGGTTTAGTAATTCAATATAGAAACCATAAAATGAAGAGGTAAACACGGAAGCTAGCGAATGCATTGTTAAGAGCAGACTAGTGAACAAAACCAATATCTAAATTACAAATACCCCGCATGGTTGGTACCGAGTTTCAGAAACATCGAGTTATGGTAGGGATAGTAACTTTCTTATCTATATTGTTGACACTAACTAGAATTTTGTATTGGCAAACATTGAAACAAACGATGAGAGCTATTGTGATGAAAAATACGTGTTATAGGACTTCCAGCACTACAGAGATTCAAATTTCTCTCATGGAAATAATCCAGCCTTGGAAACCTAGTAATACGGAACCAAAATTAATAGCTGAATTTCTACTAAGTAGAAAGGTGAGTGTGTATTTTACGTCTAAAATCAGAGACCTAGCTTGGAGCACTATAGGTTTTCAAAGCGTAAACGAGACCCATCATTCTACCGGTATGCATAGAAAATATCTTATAATAATTGACGTCTTAATCTGAATGGTTTGTGTTTGTTTGGTTCACTGTTTACAAGTGCTACCAATCAGTATTTCCTTGAATATCAGCTAAGTTAGAAATTGTTAGTGATATATCTTCAACCTAACTTGTGGAAAGCCTCTACACCATTTTTAATCAAATGGGATTGACGAGGTTATTTATCAGGTCGTTCAATTAACTCGTTCGCGTGTTAATTAGTTTGAATTAAATCTTGACGAGATTAGAACTGATGCAGTTAGTAGGTATCATTATCAAGGTTTGACTTGATAACTTCGAATAAATTGAGTATTGGGTAGATTGTTATAAACAAATATATTTATGATGTAGTTAGTGTTTGTGAAGCGCCTGCACTAACTCAAGATAAGTTCTACATTTCACATAAAAACCTAAAGGAATAATTTTTCATGATACACGAATCGGCGATAAATTCGGAAAATGGCCGTAATCATAAATTTAATCCAGAACAACGACAAATCTATTTGTTGCTATTTCTCAGAGAGATAGGAAAGCATGATTGGTACTCTTAAGACAATTAACTTATAACCAAACAGAAATCACTTCCTAATAATAATCTATATAGATTATATGTCAATGAATGTAGTTTTGTCTACTTATTTCGTGTATAGTTGTCACAGAGTATGCTAAGAGTTCCGCATTGTATTAAACATTCAATACTAGAAAGCAACTATCATCATCTTTATTCTGAAAATAATTTATGAATAAAAAGTATAAACTGTTTGGGCGATGTGATTTTTACAGTAGAAAAAGAAGAGTTTACAACGATAAACCGTAAACATAATTATCTCTACATCCAGTGACAATATATACATCATTTGAGTTTTCGGAATAAAGAACTGGAGACGAGAAACACTGGTTGGGTAGGTGGTAACTCGACCATACAGTAGGAGCTTTTCGTTGGAGAGATAGGCTCGAAGGTACTGAACACCCATAAATCAAACCATCTGCTCTTGTTCCAATCAATAAACTGTGTCCATCGCTTTGCAATAAAGAAGGTGTATTTAAAGAACATAGGTTTTTGGAGTTTAAGTCGAATGTCCAATCGAGCATCCATGCTAAATTGCCATTTACAACGTTCAAGGCGAATAAGAAGCCCTTATTAGTACTCAAAATAACATTGTTAGACTGAGCATCAAGAACGGGATCTGAAAATATTGCATGACCACTTAGTTCTTGAGAACATTCATAACTCCAATCAATATTTCCATCCAATAGAGAAAATGATTGAATTGTCCCACTAACTCCAGCTATAATAACACTAACCTTGTAGCTAGAGTCCATATATAGAAGAGGTTTACTGAAAACGGGCATTTTTGCATTCCTCATCCAAACCAAATGTGATGGATTTCTAGGGTCTAAACAACCAATAGTTCCTCCAAGACTTGCAATAATAAGATATGGTGTGCTTGTTTGAGACATATCTGACACAATAACGGGAGAAACAATGGGTGTTCCATCAAAAGAATTAGTCCAAATAGGTTTCATATCGTCCAGAGAACGCAAGTCTATGGCGTGGACTAGTTTGCCATGGGAACCACATGCTAGAAATCTGTAATCGTATACGTACGATCCAGGAGACTTAACGGCACCCCCAGTGTAATATGAGCACAGAGAAGTTCCGCACTCAACATCCAAACCATAAATACTCCCATCTAAAGATCCGACAACAAGTACAGCACTTGAACCTGCGAATCCAAGTGTAGAAGAGGCCTCGATACGACCTGGTAGTGACACTGTTGCGTTCGGCCATACTGTGTGGCCGTTTGATACATACAAAGCAGAAACCGAACCGGAATGGCTTCCGATGAAGGCACACCCATTGGAAAACCCATGAACACCAGAAAGGACTAAAGGTGAGGCGTCTACACACTTATGCAGATTATGCTGCCACAAAAATTTAAATTGGATTCGGGGTAATAAGTCAGGCAGCTTCAATACAGAACCATGTGTGTAAATATCAAATGAATGTTGGTAATGATGTTTAACAGTCATCTGGAATTCATTTTCAAATTTGCTTTGATAAACTTTTTCGGTTGAAAGGGATTTTGAAAAACGTGTTTTGGACTTCATAGAAGTAGAGCAACATCTTAAAATAAACTCACAAACACGTGAAAATGAATGCGCAAATATTAATGATACAAGATTCTCCTTTTTATTGATCAAGACAGGAAATTCTTGGATTATTGTTTCAACTAGGTGCAATGCCATTAAAGAGGAACCACCAGCCTCCATAAATGTTGCATCCCAATCAGTTACAGTCGTTCTGCCTAATCCAAGAGACTCATTCCACATGGCAATAACTTTATACTTGATGGACATTGAGGATTTAAAAAAGTTATGTAGTCTATACATTAACTTTCCGTGTAATGAAATTGGTAGAGAGAGACTAGAAAATACAAAATGTGTGGGAATCCAGGGTTGATGGTTCGGAGCGAAAACCAACTTTAGTTTTTTAAGGATATAAGATTTAGTGTTTTTTGTGTAGCTGTAAGTTGGAAATACTGAAGACCTTCTAGAAAATTTATGGGAGTAAGGTTCAATTTCAATGAATGAAATGATGGAGTTTCGCTTAGTCGATTCTTCAAAAACCTGACATCTACAGTTTCTGATCTTGAGGCCTGGTAGCTTGCATGTTTTTATGACATGTTCTAAACGTTCTAAACAAATTTGGTACCCGAACCGTTTGATTGTACGGTCTTTTCTCCCTAGAAACCATAAACACCTCCCACATTGACCGTAATGCACTAAATCAGAAGTAGGCCATGTAATCTGAGAAGGTAATTGTGAAAGAGCGTAGGAAAATTCCTGAATAGTAATCGTCGATTCTTTGGGATGTAATATGTAAAACCCACCATATTGACGGGATAGTGCCAATTCCCAAACATTTTCCATATTGGATGGTATTAGTGAGAAACTTGTTCCTAGCATCGGAAACCCAAGAGGTGAAGATCCAAGCAAAGGAGGCGAGCATTCGCAGTGAATATCATTGTTGATCCAATCTCTGTCAAATGAACTGACTTTACACAAAAAGGCCCACGAGGAGACTTCTGTAGTACCATAGATATTATAAAGGATAGATTTGTGGTTTTTAAAATTCCTGAGATCATTTAAAGGGAATGGTTCTCCACCAAGTAAAACGTTTAGACTTGGTTGTGACAAAAGCCTATCAAGGTGACGACGATTGAGACCAGAGATTTGACTTGGAGTGCATTGCAGCCAACCGACTTTTGCGTTCATGCACAACGTATATAAGGTTTTGGGTACATTGAGAATTGATGAGGGACATATAACTAAGGTACGACGGGTCAATAATGCGAAGTAAATCTGTACAATACTCGGATCAAACGTCAGGGGTGAAGCTAGAAGAACACAATTAGTCTCAGAACCATGATGCTTCTCACTGGAGAACCGATTACCTAAGTCAATAACATTAGCTGTTAAACAACTATCCGCCACATAAACTAGTTTCCGTTCTTTGCTGAAACTTCCAGACGTACTTAGTATGTATATAAGGTGTTTATTAGGTTCTATGAACGGACTTGGAAAAGGAATAAGGTGTGGGAAGAGCAGGCTGGAACGTAAATATAAAGACCAATCATTTCTTGAAAATAAACTATCAAATGTAATTATGGAACTGTTTTTATACTTTGAGAAATCCTCGACAGGAATAAGTTCAGGAGAATTGCAAAGCAAAACAATGGCGTCAATGTGATTTTTAAGCGTCATCAAACCATAAGATGCCGATGCGCTGAGTACAGGGAAGAAAGGAAGTCCTGATTTGACAATCCCATGTATTACAACATTTGTCAGTATGTGCGGAGCCCAAACTACTGCAACAACTGATAATTTGCCTTCGCCAGGCTTGAAACTCAGGTGGTACTTGAGCAACCTTACCAATTCGCTCGAATAACTCTGGAACTTTTCGTACGTGAGGATTTCAACGCCACTGTCTCTGGAAGTTCCATTCCAAAACTCCACACAATTGTCATTCACCTCCCAGTTTGGAGAGACGCAGTCCTTCAAATAACATGGCCAACATAAACTTCATCAATGAAAATAAAAACATTAGCTTACTTCATACGGTTAGAAAGCCACCTTGAGGACTCAGAGAAACCTTCTCAAACAAAACAGAGAACGGATAAAAATTCAATCGATCCCAAATACACACGGTTGAAAATGCTGATTCCTGAACTGTTATGTCACATATTGACAAGAAGTAACAATAAAAATCGACAAATTTTAATATCTAAACTTTCATAGCAACAATCCAGTCGTCAACAATAATAAACTTTCATCAAAAATATAAGATTGTTTCTGTGACAAGGCATTCAAAGACTTATCTGTTGTCAATTTTATATTCAGGCTAGTCAATCTGAGGACGGATTTCAATATTCAAAATAATGTAATTTAGATCTAGTTATGTACCGTACCACACGTCAGTCAATCAAGTCACTTGAATGTACATTCAAGAACAATTGTATTCGAGTTTATTTCCTATCCCTTAATAATCAATCATCACGTCAAAGATGCCCCCAAACGCCCTGGTACGACCGAGAGTGGGGAGAGTCGGCTCTGCCTCTCGAAATGCTCTCACATGGCCACGCGTATATAGCCTCTGTCAGGGAAGTCCTACTCACTGCCTTCTCGTGGCGGGTGTTGTTTACGAAAATGAGAGGACGAAAAGCGAATGTCCGGCGCTATAACCGGATCCCAAACCAATGGTGCACATGGGCTCCAGTATCCTAAAGGAACAAATGGCGTATGAACCAATCGTTGGTCACCGGCTACCATGGGACTGCATCTCCTTACGATGCTCCACTGCCTTGTGGACTAGACCTTTAGGTCGAAGGCTCGGGGTGTGGCCCCCTAGGAAAACCATCTGCTTCGATCTGGGCACCCGGGCAGTATCACAGCCACTACAAATACTAATTGAAATCTGTGTGGCGCATATGCATTTGGTGTCTCCTTGTACGAATATCTATGTGTTAAAATAAATAAATAGATAAATAACGCCAAAGATAAAGAGCGCAACATAATTCTATGTATCACAAAACGCTAGGTAATCATAAGTCTTGACTAATCCCAAGAAGTGGAAAATGTGTTTACAATCCGATTTGCCACATTGCAATCCAGATGAGGTTAGTTTTTAAGACAAGTAAACATTCCAGACGATTACTATGGGTATTTATGATATTGAGGATCTTCACTAATATGGAGAATACAGATACAGTATTTTCAGATGTTCCGCAAAAGATTTCAAATTAGGATCACTAACTAAATTTGTAGCTCGTTTTTAGATATGCTACAAGATATTTCTATATCTTTGGAGTGAGGGGGGAAGCACTGTTTCTATACTGAATGACGCTGATTGATATTATTAAAAATTAGGTAAAAAGTTATATCATCAAACTACCCTAAAATGCACTTTGAGTTTACAAGTTTAAGGTTGGTTTGAAAAAAACACTTTCGATAAAGTTAAGAATTTATTTTAGATCACAAGGAAATAAAACTATAAAACATCATTCTATTGATGACGCAGCTATTATAGAATCAATGGCGTTACACATGTGGTTTGCAGCACGAAGCATACCATAACCCGTGAAAACTAAGTGAATGTGTTGATCATAGGTGGTTGCCAACGTTTATGGTGTCCTTATTAATTTAAAGCGCATTATTTCAACTAGCCGGCCAATCATCTGAGAGGAAACTTACATATAGATGACTTTCTTATCGCATCTTGACTATTCTTATCAACGGTTTTTTAGCCTTCATATTATTTACTAGCAGAGATTTTGTTAATATCAACAGAATAGCGTCAAGTGACCCTGGTGTCAAAGTAATATGGGTCATACCTTTGGACACGAGTATAGCCGTATCTCAATGCGTCACTAATGTCTTTGTTCAACCAGTGCAAAGGGATGCAGATGGTACTTTTATTAAGCTGTTTAACCCACTTACACGGCGATTTTCATATACGACGCTACGAGCATTCCTTTAGAACTCGAGTGCCTTTATTTCCCCTTTATTGGTTGATTGGGTCCTAGACAATCTTACCCTTAAATAAAAGTGCCTTCTGTTGAAGTGTTGATAATTAAAGTGGTATACAGCAGAGACTTTGGCATTCTGTAAAATAGCAGGAAGTTAATGAATTTCAAAATATTAATATTTTGATTCATTCGGCAGTACAATATAGCTGGACTTTATAACTTATGATAGTTTCACATAAAGGTAGCCATATAACTATCAGTTATAAACGCGGAAATATATCTTAACCCTATGTACCTGATTGTTTGCTAGCCAACGAACCAAGCTCACCGTTGCCAAAAAAGCCGCGAACAGTCTACCGCTGAAGACCGCGCCAGATCTCTATCTGCATTCCGATTGTTTCATTTCTTTCGGCGTTTCGAGTGACAGATTTATGTAATCTCCCACATTCATGAGGTCAGCTCATTTTTAATTAAGTATTTTGTGTGAAAGATCGTTATCATTGTCGTTTATTTTACACTATTCGTTACTATTAGTTTCAATTTGTTACGATTTCATAATACTAATAATAACTGCTCCCTTCGAACTCTAACAAGGAAGAATAGTGTATTGTATATAAACAAAAACACTTCTAATTTCACTGCGTTGCCCAAGTTCATTGGAATATTTGGAGATTATGATGGATATGAGAGCACAACGCTATGCGGTTTTGCCGAGATTCAAGCTGCTTCCTTCAGTTAAGCAGAATGGACAATATCCATGCCAGGGAAGGTGTCTTTTTCAGGCACTTCAGTTTTCGGCACATCACGTCAGCGCTCAAGTTCACTTCCAAAAGTACTGTGGAGTTTCAAGTGAAGCTTCAATCAACATAATTATTATGGGTCAGTTAAAATATCCGAGAGTATTGTTCTGCCAGAAGATCAGCGGCGTCACTGTCGTTTTTGGTCCAGCCATTAGGGCAAGAAGTTGAGAAACTCCGATCTTGACTTATCGAAGAGAGGCTGCATAACGGAATATGCTTTTCGGATTGTAGACGAATTTATCAATAAGCTTTATGTGGTACTGAAGCCTATTTTCTTATTGCACTTTCGCATATATTCCTTACGTTCTGGAATTACCCGTATACGGTGTTGTTATCAGTTCGTCTATATTCCGACCAGCAGTTCTTTTTGCAGCTTAGCGAGCAGAAAGTGAGATTCTTGATAACTGTAGGTTGCTTGTAGATTTGGGGGACCGTTAGCGGAACAGACTGCTTCGTAGCACATAAGGTCGTGCTCAGTAAGAAACCCCAGTGAGCATACACGTCGTGTTGAGGGTGAACTTCCCAGTCCACCTGCAGTAGATTGTCCTGTAAAGCTGATACATTCAACAGTTTGAAATTTCAAAGCCTGTTGTTGGTAGAGTGTATTAGCTCAGTTTTGCTGATAAAACTGAAGGCTATGACGGTGTAATAGCCTTTCCTTAGAGAAGCCAGGATTGAGTACTTGTCAATTAAGAATTCTACGTTTGTAAATACGCACTCTAAGCGTGACGGCGTCAGAACAAGTTGTCGACTTCATCTTTTCGAATAATCCCAGATCCTCAGTGATGTCGACGAACCGAGTTTCAGTCGAGTTTTCACCTCCAATATACTTATGGATGATTGAAGTCTCCTAGAATCAGGATATGAATGGACTCAGACGAGTAGAAAGACAATACATTTAGCCTACGATTTTCGCACTTGTTGCCAGCAATGGGCTTCCCGTAAATGACTCCAGTCAGACACCTCGAGGTGGTAGACAATCTTACTGAGCACCATACGGATTCATCAAGATTTATAAACCTTTGGTTATGGGTAATTTTGCATTGATTTTCAGGGGAACCAGACATCATCCAGACTTTCATGTGACTATCCAAAAAAACAGCTCGATCCTGTTGAGCAGGAGATTCAGTAGCCACCCAAGCTTAAAATTTATAACCCTAACAATTAACCTCATACCCGTTACCAGAAGAGCTCGACACCATCTACGCTTTACCGCTACAATCTGAACAATACGGCTGAATCCTGTATCACAACCACACACGTAACTAACACCCTTATGAATGTTTCATATACACCTATAGATATGCCATTTTTCAAGGCATGATACATAAATTACAACATTTAGTGGTTCACAGTATGCATGTCAAATAAATATAATCTATAAAAGTGTATATCAGTTCGTTAGTTCAGACATAGTGAGTAGTCCTTAAAATACTCTACAAAGAAGCATCGCGTCCACGTTACACGCCAGATCCAATCTCCGCATTATTGTGTCAGGAATTCGGTCGTGCTAAGTATTTATGCAATGCAACTTTTTAGGTTTATAGTTGTTATAAAGTCGACTTGTAGAGCACTTGGTGTGAACTATGACTTTAGGAAAACACGTACATGGAGTTTGTTCCAGATGTCAGAAGTTCCGTAGCTGTGCCCTCAGCGAATGATTCTGGAAGAAAACAGAGAAACCGAGGAGCAGCAAGGCACTTGGATATGGACGATAAACAATACTTAACATTTTGTGGTGGAGCAGACAAATGTGATAAATTATTAGACTAAACTCGTGCTAGCTCTTGTAGCTAGAGTGAAATGCGATCAGAGGGTTCAGGTGAGAGAATGCAGTGATGAAGAACAATGAGTTGTGACATTTACCAAGTTGAAGGAAGGAAAGTCAGAATTGGAATAACAAAAGCTGTCTATTAGAACAGAAAGTGCATATAGAGAGTAAAGTGTTAATAAGACTAATGACTATGTCTTATATTGTCCAATTTTTTTTCATCCGATGCCTGACACATAGTCCCAGTGTAAAAGTCCGAGTTAGCATTTTCTAGATTGTCCTAGTAGAATAGCTGACCCAACATAAAATTGGAAACACGAGTCTGAATGGTGAGTGTAAGAGAACAACCTCAATATCACAGATTAATTGACTTATTCCCAATCATAAACAGACTGATATATACAAAATGTTCTGTCCCACAAACATGGGTGGATTGAAGTCATCGCCCTCACCATCAATGCTTGCTGGTCAGTAACTCCACCCTCCCTCTTTTTGTGATGTTAGACTCATTTAAGCTTATTTTTGCATATGTCATACCTCACACAATGCCCTGTGTTTCACATTCTTTTGGAAAACACTATTTCTATAAGTACCATTTTACGAGCCTATCAGGCAGTTACAAATTATAGACTGTGGGTAAGTCATAGATGCAATGCTTCAATTGACCATAGTATAAAGTATAGTTTGCCAATCAGAGCATAGGCTCTAAGAAGGGTATAATGTAAGATAGTTTTTTAATAAAGCAGGAGGAAAAGTATAGAAGTATATGAGTTGTAGATAAGGTAACGAGTGGTGAAATTATAATAATGGCAAGTCAACATATTGTACAGGAGAGTGAAAGGCTGATAAGGAATAAACATGGAGAAACTCATGCTAACTTGGTGCTGATGTTATTTTGTGTTGTCCTAACCAGTTGATGGGTAACAGGCTCCATATGTGCATGAGCAATGTTAGTAGGCAGTCAAATATGCGGTTCTCTTGAATTTTTAAGTTGGTAGTGAGTGTCCCTTGGCGACCGAGTTTAGTTGGACAGTGTCGATAGGTCCAGTGAGTTACCTGTCAAATTCAAGTAAAAAATTAGGGAGGGAAAAGTATGTAATACAACCACAAAGTAGGAAAATAAGGCAATTTGGTCTATACACGTAGACAGACGAACTTGTCTGTGTGAGACGCAGATGTGTTTCTTTGTGCTAGATCTGTGCAAGTGAGGGCCTGATCAATAGGTCTTACAAACGTATGTAATTCATCCGCCATGCGTGTTTCAGAGGGAAGACTGTTCCACATTATTGTATATTTGATGAGAAAGAAGTTTTCTTGAGGTATTGATTGGTATTTCTCAACTTTGACCATAGATACTTTGTTTCGAAGTTCGTATTCATGTGAATCTCGGGCAAGAACTACATTACATATGGAATAAGTAAGGTTTTTGAGTAGTTTGTAGTAGAGAATCAATTTAGACCTAAGTCTTATTTTCCAAGGGGCGTTATTCCTAAAATTTGACATCAAGAGCTGTAGTCAATGATCGATTCAGTCTTAAGTATTTTGCAGGTGAAATTTCGTTGTATTCCTTACACATTTGGGATATCAGATAGGCGAAGACTGGAAAGTAAGAACGAGCAGTATTCAACCATAGGTCTTACACAAACTTTATAAAGAAGGATTTTAGATTCATTTTGATAGAAATTACAGAGAATGAAGTCAAGCAACTTCCGCATTTTAGATGCTTTAGCTGAGACGCATTCAGAGAAGTTAAGGCTGTGTGAATAATGTATCCCTAGGTCAGTTACTGATGTCGGTATGGGCAATGTATTGTTGTTAAATGTTAGTTTTATTTCAAGAGACGTGTTTCCTATTCATAATCAGCCGCATTTCTCTGCGTTGAGCTCTAACCTCCAGCATTTGCGGCAGTCGCCTACCATGTTTAGTTCATGTTGGATTGTTTGCATAGTACTACGTACATCGCAAATGTCAGTGTTATAGAGGACTTTTAAGTCATCAGCGTAGAGGTAGGTCTTATCTGTGCTAAAGCACTTGCATATATTGTTGATGTAGATTATAAAAAGCAATGGACCCAAGACGCTTCCCTGAACAACACCGCTGGTTATTGTTCGGGGTGTAGATGTTGTAGTTATTCTTGTATGATTATTACGACCATAGTTCGCGTCGATCAACTGCACACAACGTGGACAGACCAATGTTGATCCATTGCTCTTACATGCAGTCAAACTCACTAATTTTAGCAATGACGATATGCCTTAGAATGTCACAATGACAATGGCTCTTGAGAGCACTCAAAATCAACTACTAGTATAAATGAAATTGGTTAACCAGCAAACCAATTCTGAGTATGAACAGTTAGTAAAACCTGTCAAAGTAATGTCAAACCATCCACAATATCAATAGCGAACTTCCAGTTTCATATGAGACCTTCAGCCCTAAATAGCCATATACCATATTCTATAAACAACACATAGAGTAGTAAACGAACTGACCCAGCCTAAATCGTTAGGGCTCAAAAAACGCTCAAAATCCGTTGTATCGCGTCGGAATACAATTACAAGACCACCAAGATAATTTTTATCGCATTTGCGGAATTTCCATTCTCCCGAATTTTCAAACCCTGATTTAAAAACAGTGTCCCCAGGGTTATCAGTTCGGCTGCGACACTTAACACGGATTATAATGGGTCGCCACACGTTTGAAAGTGCAACATATGTTCACCTCTCTGAGATTGGTCGTGAAGGCCAGAACTACAGACTAACGGTATAATTTCAATTAACTGATGAAATATTCTGTCTACCAT